CGTGAAAAACTTTCGTTGGACGAATTTTCTTGTAAACTTCATATTTACTGAGATATCGCACTTTGACGCACTAATGAGCAACCCTGTATATAGTGAAAAAACTCTTCTTGAACCAGAAAATATCTTAGGTAAATAATTTCTTATCATTATCTGTGATCTTGTCATACCATTTAAATTAACATTAAAAAAATTAATTTTTGGAAGAAACTTAAGCAATTATTACCCAAACTACTTGGCACAAAATTCAGGAAAACTCCCAAAAACTGAAATAAAAGCTAGTTTTCCGAGTGTCTGCAGAAAAATTAGGCATTCAATCAACTAAAATTATCAAAAACCTGTTGTCATTTTAATCAGGGATAATAAGAAAAACGATGCAATTTAGATACATTTTCGTTGCTTACTCCTTACACGTGTTGATGTTTGGGCCTGAGTGTTATTTAAGGAACATTTTTGGGTCAAAATATAAAAAGTCCAGGGAAAAAATTGGAGCGGTGCAGATATTATTATTTTTAAGCTAGTTCTTGATACGGAGATCTTTCTAAAATTCGGTATCAATGAAAATCTCTACAAAACTGGTTTATGCAGGTTTTCATTAAAATTAAAAAACTTTTATTGTACAATTTTAATTAGTACTTGGATTAAATTTTAATAAGTTTAGCTTTTAAAATTCGACTGGTTTAAATCAAATACCCCGTATATCATTGGATAATTCCAAACCGAACTTAATTCTACATAGAAAACGTTTTTTCAACTTTTAAAGTTAGAAACTGTTTTATTTTAAATTCCAATTGCAACTGTTAAATTACAAACCTTTTCACGACATTAAAATAAAAGAAATAAAAACATTTAAGAAAGTAAGACATCAATTTCCACAAACATATTCATTAATGTATAATGCACCATTTTCTTTTCCGTTATGCCAAACGTGTATTTTTAGCGCTTTTGAACAAATCTATAATTAATTGTGGATTATTCCCTCATGATTTGCAAAGCCTCTCTTACTATACGGTTCGGGGTTCCGGAAGCAAATGTTCCCTCCGGGACTAATGAATATCATAAGATCTTTTGAGTCAATGGGTTTTTTTGGCTTTTTTCACCATTGCATCCAGTTCTAAGAACATTCGTGCACATTTTAGCCTATAGAGTATGTTCAGTAGCAACAAAGTTAACGCGGACTTGAAATCTGTATATGAAACTCTTTTTTCAATATAAGGCAAGGTGATTTTATTTTGTAGCTAACAACCATTTTTCGGTGAGAGTTGAACTTTTGTACTCACAATAACAAAACAATTCATAATCGAGTAAGCTAATAAACTTATCGCAGTTTTTTACGGTCGTTCACGTGACAAGACCAAAATAATTAAACAACGCGTCTTCTAATTATGTTAAACATTTAAGTTTTTTTTATAGAATATTCTGTATATTCTTGTGTTTCTGTTCTTTTCTAATTGTATGATTGTATGTGCTTAAATTTATCATGATAGCCGTCAAGCAATACAGACTATTTTATGACCTAGGATGTTTCAAAATTATATTTTTACCAAAGAACGCTCATGCTTCTTTCCTAAGTTTGTTAGTAGTAGACAATTTATTGTAAAACGATGTGAACAATACCAATGCGTTTCAACTTCCGGATCTTTGATTATAGTATATGCAGATTTATTGTTCGTTTCTCAGAAATGAACATGTTGGCGAAACTTCCTTATACGGAAACATTTCATGTTATTTGTTCAACGCGTGATATTTGATTTTATTCTAGATTGTGTACGTTTCCATGTCACAACTATCTTCATGCAATAATGTAGTTAGTTTCAGTTTACGTAGAAGTACAGTTTATGTAGAACTGAAAATCGATTCGAACGTTTTGACGCATCTGGAAAATTAATGGTTTTAGAGGCAAACCAAAATCAACGTTTGAAAGAGAATACATTCATTGTAGAGAAATTAACTAAAGTGTACAGGTGAAACTAAGAGGCAAATTATCAAATAACATATTAATGTGATTGTGAATTCGTCGCTCTCACCTGAGAATAATTCAATAATATAAAAAACTGTATTTCAACGTGAAATGATTAGGTACATGCGTTTGCCGCATGTTTGAACAAAATCTGTTACTTACAATTTTTTTAAAGTTTGCAAGTTGTGTTACACTCACGTCATTTTCAATGCTTACATGTGTTAATGTTTGGGCCTGAGTTTTATCGTTAAGGAACATTTTTGAGCGAAAATGTGAAAAATCCACGGAAAAATGTTATAAAGTGGTACAGATATTGCTCTTCTTTAACTGGTACGTGATGCGGAAAAATATTATTTTTGTATCTATTTCATCAGTTCTCATACTCGTTTCGTGTCAATGTGTTGTGACTATCATAGAATGTCTGATGATGCCTAAGGTCGAAATCATGGCAGTGCATATGTGATATATACGATATACGATACATTAACTGAGGTCTGTTTGAGGCCAATTGACTATTTCTTCGAAATATTTTCCTGTACTCTCGAATAAGTGAGCCCCAATAACTCCTAATGCTTCTAAAAAAATAAACTAACGTGTTTATGAAGTTTTATATCCGTTTTAAAAATGCAAACACCCACATACAAAATTTTGTTGGAGGCGCGTCAAATATTGGCTTTTGTGATGCATATTCCCACTAAAACATACCTTTGCAATCATTAATTCGACATGAAATCAATTGTAAATATTATCGATCTTTCGTTATTCTATCGGTCCATAAGTTGTTTAAATTTTTGATCAATTGAAGTTTATATTTATTTAGTTAATATCAACAAAGTCCATAAATATTGAACGTGCTTGGTTCGATAAGTAAATACAATGTTTACTTGAGCACGAAATGCAAACCAGTGTCAGTAGCCCGAGGCTAAGAATAGTTTTTTTCTGCAAATATTTCCCTGTTTGCTACTGAATTTAATTTTTATATTTCCGGCGTTTGAGTCTTTGATACCAATATTTTACAATTTGAAATTATCAAAACCAACCTTATAAACAATGCAGAAGCAACCTAGACACCAGACCGTTTATCTGACCATTATAATATTTTAAACTGTAGTTAATTGTTGCTAATAATTTTCTTAACAATTATACACAGTCAGACTATGAAGGCTTTCACAGCCGGTCAAATCACATTTAGGAATGTTTTCCGGGCTTTGAAGCCGTGGTTTATGGGAATTTCTTCCTGACGTTTCGTCCACAACTGCGGTGGACATTATCAAAGGCGATCAGGCAGTGGGCGAAGTGATCTCCCGTGCTTACCGACGAAGACTTAGTCGGTAATTTCCCATCGCCTTTGATAATGTTCACCGCGGTTGTGGACGAAACGTCAGGAAGAAATTCCCATGGACCACGGCTTCAAAGCCCCGGAAAACATTTCTAAATGTAATTATACACAGTGTTTGTAATGTAAATTCATTTTTTAGAAAGGCCGTGTTCTCGCGAATCTGTAAAGTAGATTCCAGGGTGTGAACAGATTCATTTAACTTCTCTGTAGATAGTCGGATCTATTTAGTCTCTTTTGCAGTTTAAGTTGCATTTTCGGCAGCGTTATACATATAAATGCATTTTCGGCAGCGTTATACATATTAAGTTTTGAAGAGTACAATTTATCCCAAATTAAATAAAACTATTATGTTGACATGTTACATTTATAGAAACGTTTTTTTTTCAAATAGAAAATTGAACTATTTAATCGCATTAAGGAAACGTCCAAGTACCTCAAAACTCAACACTTAAAAAAGTCATGCAACTTAATGCAATTTTTAAAAAACACCATGTACAAATATATATTATTGCAATTCAGACACTTCACTCTCTGCGCCGTATTTGCTGAAACTATCTAAGCGTTTCCAGTAAATCGTATATTAGAAATATATATGTAGATACAAAATTACTTTTGTTATTACCTCCAGTACGGAATGCATCGATTTACTAACCACCAAAGTACCTATGGCAGTATTTTTGAATCATATATGACACGTAAGTGGATCAACATCATGTCTGGAGGCCTGGCTCGCTTGCGTTCATTAGATTTCTATATTTAAATGTTCACTAAATTAGCCGTCTCAAAATAGGATTGATAATTTATTGGATTTTGTTATACCTAAATGAATATTACATAAATCTAATAATGAAAAGTGATACAAAAGTAGATGTAAGTTGAAATCGGGACTATTAATTTGATTTGATTGATTTAGCATATCCGTTCCGATTTTAGTTTGGTTCAGGCGCTTCATTCAGTCTTATAGGGATAAAAAAAAGTCAAAATCATTTTATATTTAGATACTTAATTCTATTGTTACCTTTCCTGACTCATGTAATCATAGGTGCCAAAATCGAAATTACATAAATTGGCAGACCAAGTTGCTTGGTACTTACTCAGAACAAAATTAATATCACT